AATTGAGAAAGAGTAATAATATAAGAGGAGGAGGAGGAGGAGAAGAAAAATAGATTAAAATAAATCCTGATTTATTATAGGCTTAAAGAAGGTGAAGTTGTTGGGAATTGTGAGTCTGTGAGAGAGAATCACAGTAGAAGAGGAAAAGATAAAAGAGGGAAGAGATAATGGCGTTGTGGCTTATGACTTTTGACTTGTCATTAGCTTCTTTGTCATGTCATTTTGTTTGCGCTACACGCACTTGGTTTTCCTGGCAAGTTACTTATTAAATACAGAAAAAAATAAATAGAGGTGTCTTGTAGGAATCTCGCAAAGTATACAGGGCCACTTGATTTTTTTGGAAAAGTACAGGATCTCAAATACGCACTTGCCGATTAAAAATAACCATCAGTTTCAAAATTTGCACAAAGTGCAAATTGAGACTACACTAGTTACATATATATTGGGTACTATTTACATAATTACATTTCATTGTTTTTTTTATAAAGCTAGAAAAATTTTGTATTTTTAACCGGCTCAATGAATAAATTCACTCATAAACTTTATTATTTTAATCTTAAGGTATCCTTAAGTTTTACTTTAACCCATTAAACAATTCAACTTATAAAATTACACCAATTAAACACTTCAACTTATATAATTATTTTATTGAACACTTCAACTTACAAAATTCGATCAATTAAAAACCTACTAAATAATTGAAATACGTGAAAATTTATGTTCCAAAAGTTATTTAATTACACATCAAATGAATATTTTGCACATCAAAAGTAAAAAATCCTAAAAAATATTGGTATTAATGTGAAAAGGTGTGCAACAATACCAAAATTTGCAAATTCAAGTACAAAATAGATAATTCATAAAGTTTAAGATATCACAGAATTAAAGTTATAAAATTCAGGGGTGAATTTATGAAAGAAAATCTTATAAAATTGAAGGCAAGTAAATGATGGCTTTATACTACAAAAAGAAATTGCGTTCAATTGCATCCATATGCATATATTGATATGATGTTAAATTATTATTGATATGCTTTAGTGGATGGATGAATTAGTTTCCACTGCCATGAATTTTAATTTGGTATTTGCTTTTATTCACTATCTGTTAACTATATGAGGTTGACAACATTAAAGACGGAGTTATGGAGATGGTTCTTTATGAGCTTCTGATAATAGACAACATTTCTTCTTTAAAAAAAAAAAAAAAAACAGACAACATTTTATGTGATGGAATTCCACATCTTAAGTAGGTTTAGATAATTAATTATACATGAAAAAAAAATCAGTCATAATATGATTCTTAAATAATAGTTTATATGTCCATAAATATAAGTCGTTTTGAGAATATCAATGAATAATTATTACTCCATGTAATTTTGTTATATAGACAGTTTTTATTTTGGGTGTCCCATTTAAATAGACAAAGTTACTCAATCTGGACTATGACCAAAGTATAAAGTTCAAATTGCCAAAAAATAAGAAAGTGTCAGACAAAGTTTAGATATTGCATTAAATATGATTGAGTTACCAATGCACAACTGTCCACTCCGTTTTTAATCAAATTACACGTAGTTTTCAAGTTCTATGCTTTATTTATTATTACAACATCTGTGTTTAAATTTTCTAAATGTGGCACACTTTTATTTTATAGCTGCATATTTCTCATTATCGTATCATCTTGTTTAAGTAAGATAAAAAATGCATACTTATTGTAATATATGTTCCATTAGTTAATAGTGGAAAAGTTGTTGGGTCTAGTTTGACATTATAAGCACATTTTAAACTAATTCCTGAATTCCTTAATGTTTGGGGCCAAAATAGGAAGAGTTGGCAAAAAATTATCAATTAAACTAATTTCTTAATTTACATGTAAAGCTAGTTGTATAGTATAAAAGAATTGAAGGGAGTATTTTTTTTTTTTTCAATTTCACTATTATTTACATTAAATGCAATAATTATCCCCACAATTTTCTAAAGAGTAATATAGTCGAATTAATGAATATTTTATTATAATTTATGAAAATTAATTATTTTCTTAACCACCTTACAACAATTTTAAACTATTTATATTTTTAGAGAAAGGGAGTATATGATTTATTTGATAACACATGTTGTCTGTCTATTACAAAAGGAGAATTATATGACTTAGATTTTGATGTTTCTGATATATCACAGAAGATTAAAGAATAAAGTTTATTGGAAGTTGCATGATTTAAAATAAAGATGTTACTGATAGATATAAAGAGAGGATACAATCACAGCAACATAAATATATTTAAAAGAAAAATTATTTACTGATGTAAACTCAAATAATCCGCTTATCCTGCGAGCTTTATAAAAATATGTCCAGTTTCTGGATCTTGCAACTGACAATTATTATTATTATTATTATTTTTTTTTTTTTTTGCCAACTGACAATTATTATTATTATTATTTATTTTTTTTTTTTTTTTGAAACTTCCAACTGACAATTAGTTAATTCCCAGTACTTATGTATTTTTTTTATCGGCAAATAAATACTTTTATTATTTACTATATGGTCCTGCAATAAATTCAAGTCAATATACTTCCTTTAGACCACCCAATTATAATTGTCTCCCTTTTATTAGCTCTCTAATTTCTTAACTTAGAGAGGCTAATTAAAATGGAAGACATTATATTGGGTGTCTAAAAGGAAGTATATTGACTTTTGAATTTATTGCAGGGACCATATTAGTATTAATAAATATTTATTTTGCCCGCATAAATTCAAGTTCAATATACTTCCTTTTTAGACAACCCAAATATATGTCTCCCATTTTATTTAGGCCTCTCTTAAGTAAGAAATTAGAGAAAGGCTAATAAAAATGGAAGACATTATATTGGGTGTCTAAAGAAGTATTTATTATTATTATTTTTTTTTTTTTTTGAACTTCCAACTGACAATTAGTTAATCCCAGTACTTATGTATTTTTTTTTTTATCGGCAAATAAATATTTATTATACTAATATGGTCCTGCAATAAATTCAAGTCAATATACTTCCTTTAGACACCCAATATAATGTCTCCCATTTTATTAGCCTCTCTAATTTCTTACTTTAGCCAATAAATACAAGATTCAAGAATAAAATTCCGTTTATTTCTGAAAAATAACTTATTTTAGAAAATATTTTCTAAGAAAAATATTTTTCAAATAATTTTTTTTCCGTTGTTTGTTACAGTATTAAATATTAGTTAAAAATATTAAAATTTTTAACTCATGAGACTATATAAAATTTATGATAATAAAAATTTCATATTTTAAAAATCTATTATTAAATATGAGAAAAAAATGTAAAAAATATAGTAAATTATGAAAGCCGACGGTGATTAATAGTGGTGAACGGTGAGTGGTAATGACTACTGATGATTAATAAATAAAAAAATATGCATTAATTTATAAGTCTATAATAAGTTTATAAAATTATTTTCCTCTCTTGAAAATGATAAGTCATTTTTTCTTGAAAATGACTTAGCTTTTCTTTGACTAAAAAATTATTTTTCCTTTACTTATTTTTCTGAACACCCCAAACAACAATGGAAAATTAAAAAAAATATTTTTTTGCAAGTTATTATACGGAAACAAATGGAGCCTAGATTGGAAACAAAATTGAATACAAGGAAGATTGAGTTTAGAAGTTGTATACTAGTGCAACCCTGGCAAGAGTTGGTCTCAGTACAACTTTTTTTTTTTTTTTTTAAATATATATTTATAACATAATAAGGGTGTAGATAAAATAGGACTTTCAAATCGGATCTAATGTAACCCGATTTGAACAGTCCTAACTATATTACTGATGTCATTTGTCAATCAGAGTCTAATTTTTAAATGGGAGGAAAATAAAAGAAATAATTATTTTGGTAAATAATACAAAAGGATCAGAAGTCATAGTCATGGCAAGCAAAGTCAAGAAGTCAAGATGTTTTACTAGGAGATGAAAGACAAGACATGACGGACGAGAAGATACCACTTATTGAATTAGGGTTTCAAGAGAACTTATTGTAGCGAGTAGAAAACCTGTCAGCAGAAACAATAATGCTAGAAGAACATTTATGGTCAAAGGAAATCCATCTGTTTTCAATTTCTCCAAATCACAAAATTGGGATAAAAAAAATATTATAAATAAAATCGAAATGTTAAAATTAGTTGAAAAAAGTCATATCAAAATTTGCTATCACGGCAATTGATGTATGATACGCCAATATATCGAGTGTAGATAAGTCTTATCCATCTAAATATACGTATGCATATATTGGAGTATACAAGTCATTTTCCCATGTTAAAATACACAAGTACAAATTGTAAGGTTATAGAGCTAACTTTGGTACTATATATATTTATATTTATCAAATCCAAAAAATTTCGTTAATGGGTCGTAAGTTATAAATATATTATAAAGTTTTGAACCAAATATACATAGAATAGCATTATTTACGGATTTTTTTTTAAAGAAAAAATTAATAACCTTATCATGGTTCTCTCTCTAGCTAAGTAATGTCCTTGTCCTTATTTCTTTTCCCTCTTTTTTTTTTGAAGGGTATGAGAGTAGTTTCTCCTTTTAAGTGAATATAAACCATACCCTTCATATTTAATTTGTACATTTGAGAATTATTTTCCAAATATACAAATTATGTCACAATAAAATTTATTCCTTTCCCCCCTTCAATCATGTCAAATTTTTATATTATATTTTTTCACTAAATATTAAAAAAAAACTTTCATTTCTATCATAATATTAAGTAAAAGCAAAGTTGATAATACATTTAGAATACATAGATAATACATTTAGAATACATATACAAAAACAGTTACAGGGCAGTGCCTAATTTAAGCATCATGCCTAAAACTCTCTTTCTCTCTTTTATATTCTTAAATTTAAAAAAAAAAAAAAAAAAAAAAAATTCTTAAAATTTTAAAAAAAAAAAAAAAAAAAAAAAAAAAAAACATTTTGAATTCTAATAGGTAGAGAAAGCTCAAATAAAAAAAAAAAAAAAAAAAAAACACATTTGAATCTAATTAGTAGAGAAAGCTCAAATTTCCTTAACCAAATTAATTAGAATATAATTCCTTCAAACAGATTATTCTGTAGGTCTTACTTTGGTGACATCAATTGCAACAAATTCTTGATTTGAAGTACCTACACTTTCACCTGTAGTACCCATTTCTGAAGTGGTTACAACTTCCTTATCATTGCTTGAAGCTAATGGAGATTTATCTTTGCTCTTACCCCATAATACTAGATATAGACCAGTAACAATTACCAGTGCTCCAATAATCCTACAAGAAAAGAAAAAAAAAAATTATAATGAAGACCTAATTAAGTTATATTCCAAAAAACAAAATTTTAAAATTCTACATCTTTAAATTTTAAGATATTAATTAAGTTAGCAGCTGAGTTTTCTGATCGAATGCCTATTTTGTAATCTATAGAAAGAAAGCAAGTATGGAAGTGTTAGAAAGGATTACCTTCCCAAGTACATGATCTCTGATAAGACAAAAGAGCCCAAAATTGTAACAATAACCATACTTAGAGGATTGAAGGCAGTCACAAAAACAGGACCTTTAGCCTTCATTATTACTCCTTGTACATAATAAGCAATTCCTGAACACATGACTCCCTGCAATATAACAAAACTGTAAATTTTGTTTCTAAACAAACATAATAAAAATAATAATAATAGGAACCAGTAAAAATTTAAATGTAATACTTACACTATAAACAGCAGCCAATAACTTGGAATCAAAGTGTATAGACCAAGCTGAAGGATTGCCCTTTTCCATTATAACAGCAAATATGCTGCCTTCAATAGTTCCCATGAAGCATATCAAAGCTGTTAGGGAGAGCTCAGCTGGGTATGTTTTTAGTGTTATTGCCTACAAAGCATTCATTCAACTTTGTTATTTACTGTTAGAAATCTTATATTAACTTGACAAAATAATAATTTGAATATATATATATATATATATATATATTCGTGTAATATAATTAATCTACCTACCTATTTTTTATAGTAAATGTTAGATTAGAATAGGGGCAAAGCTAGATTTTAGAATTTGAAGGACCAAAATAATTTTTTTTTAAATTAAGGGACCAAAATGAAGAAAAAAAACTTTTTTTATACTAAATTATAAAGCAAATTCTAAAAAAATCCTAGAGTTTGGGGGCTCGACTCCCCCAGTCCCCCCTCCCTCCGCCCCTGGGTAGAATATATATGATGTTTATGTATGAGTGAAAGATGATAATAGCTTGAGTTTATCGGACGACTTCTACAAACTTGGGGGGTTTACTTCATGTAAAAAACACTGTTCGCAAATGCAACGTGAGATTAATTTTATACCAAAAAAAGATATAGGAACCCTCGTTAGAAAAAAAAAAAAAAAAAAATATCGTTAGAAAAAAAAAAAAAAAAAATAATAGTTAAAACTTAAGTCTCTTAAAACAAATTGTGAAACAATATCATTAGCACAAATTTACAAAAAAAAGTTAATAATTACATCAGATAAATGTTATAATAAAAAAAAAAAAAAAAAAAAAATAGTTAAACTTAAGTCTCTTAAAACAAATTGTGAAAACAATATCATAGCACAAATTACTAAAAAAAAGTTAATAATTAATCAGATAAATGTATAATTAATAATTAATTAATTACCTGAAGGATGATGAAGCAAGACCAACATAAGCAACCAATTCCAATCATAAAAGCACCCTTGATGGTATCATGTGGGGTGACTGCAGCTGTAGATGCTTGATTATCATATCCTTTTGACCATGGTAATTCCAATATTGCCCCTTTTATTAAAGTCATTAACATTGCTCCTCCAACTGTCACTATTGTTCCCAACACCTTTGCCCAGCTATGCACTTTCTTCCACTTAACCTCCTCAAGCCTACATTATATATAATTCTTAATTAACAAAAACCAAATTTTTTTATTTAAATATTATTTTTAATTAAATGTATTATTTTTAAAATTACCTTAAGGCCCAAGCCATCAGAAATGCAAAAGCAGGAAGAATATTACACATAGCAGAAGCAAAAGTTGCTGTCGTATATTTCATGCCAGTGTAGTACAAGTTCTGGTCAATAGTTGGCCTGCAAAATCAGATAATTTTAATTATTTAATTAAGCTTAATTAATGATATAATATGATTAAATTAAATGAAATAAAATAATTTAAGTGTCCTTACTCCAATAAACCAAGCAACAGTATCTTCACAAAGACGGAGAAGGTCATCTTTGGCCTCACTTTCCTGTATAAAATACAAAAAAAATATAATAAATAAAAAATTATAATGAATAAAAACCCAAATAATGATAATTAAAAGAGAGAAAGACCTGTCAAAAAGAATGGCAAAAGGAGCCATAACAATGGTGGCAACTGCATGCCTATAGACAACTAATACATGTTGGCTCATTCCTTGGTTTAAAGCAAATTTTGAAATGATTGACATTCCTGCATACCCAAATTGTATAAAAATTACAGCCAAAAATGGCTTTGATTTTTCATAAAATGTACCCCAAGTTTCCATATATCTAATATTATTATTATTTTTATTATCTCTAACCAAATCAAATCCTTTTTTTCTCTCCTCTGCAATTGTGAGGGAAGCTTATTGCTGCTTAGTTCATTTATATAGAGAGAAGTTCTGAAGGGTAAATACAACATCAACACGTCTTAGTTTTAAAGTCTGGGGACTCCACTAACTGAACATTAATATTTTGCAACATGAGAAAAAAGGAAAGAGAAAAAGTTAAAAAATGTCAAAAACCATTGTTGCTGACTAATGAGGAGAGGAAAAGGAGTACAGAAAGAGTGTTATAATGGTGGATATTACAGGTAGGTTTTTCTTAAACGTAACCATATAATAATTTTAAAGCATGTATTTGAGGATAGAAAGTTGTAAGATAAGAGAGATATGATGATGGATTGATGGTTTTTTCCCCCCTTTTTATGCCTCATAGATGAAATGCTTTTGTCATTTTAAATGGAAGATGATCATGTCTAAGGCATTTCTTTTATTTAGCCATTAACAGAAACACAAATATAAGGAATCTAAAAACATTTCTTGTTATCCTTTTGTTTCGTGTCTATTATTCAAATTCTAACTTAGATAGCTTCACTTTTCAGTATTTGTATTAAAATATACATATATATTCATTTGCACCACGCACTTATGCAAATTAGAGCATCATTTATATTTATATAAATGGACTAATCCACCCTCGCTTTATAACTACTAATTTAATGATATTTTCCTACTTTTATTTTTACTTACCTATTATAATTTTACTATCAATTCTCGAGAGTCAAGAACGGATCTGTTTCAATATAACTTCAAATTTTGATTCTTGATCGATGTGGTAAGATTAAAATCTATATATCATTTTCATTGTTTTTTTTATAAAATAAATGTTATAAATTGATCCTACTTTAAGCATAGTTTGACTCAAGAACTATATAAGCAATTTGCATTGACCATGAAAATCACATATATATTCTATGTAGTTATTATTGATTTAGTACAAGGTTCTTATATATGCTCTAAAGATAGGTATCATCCATATGTATTAGTCAATTACTTAATAATGTTCATGAGCTTGATTTGGTGCATTGTGACCATTTCATTGGTTTTGACTTTTTTTGTGCTTATTAATTAGCATAATTACCCAATAAGATTTCATGTGAAGATATTATTTATAAACAAGAGGGATGTGTGGATGAAATTAGTGGCTCAAAATCAAAGCAACTAATGCCATTTTGCCTCTCCCCCTTTCATTACTATAATAATTAATTAATTTCACTATCAAAATTGCAATCCTTCTCATACTCTAATAACTTCTTGCTTTGTCATTATATGCTTTAATCAAATTACTTTTCTCCACGTCTAAGGGCAATTTAGGCATAAAATATCTTGTGTGGTATAAAAACCATGTGTAATTGCCCATTGATACAATTTTACAAACCCATACACTCTCTGTATATGATATTATTTAGTTAATCTACTAATATAACACAATTTATTGATGTTAATCTCCAACTCATACAGCATTATTAGCACTACTTTTGATTAACCTTAATTCATCTTACTAATTATTATTATTTTAATGGGATATCGATTATATTTATACAAGCAATACTGAATTACAACCGTTAATATCAATCAGGTGGTAGTCCGGTTATCTTCTCAATTATATGAGAAGTGAGAGGTCTCAAATATGTCATTTCTATTGTGTGGTTCGCAGTCTTATTTCAGTACAGTGAACTTTCAATGAATTAAAATAAAGTACGACCATTGGCTAAAAAATTTTAAAAACAGAAAAAAAAAAAAAAAAAAAACAGTAAAGCAAAGCAGATTGTGTTTGCCTATGAAGAAAATACTTAAGATAACAAGGTTTTTAATGCTAAGTTTTTCCTTGAATTTTATTATAATGAACTTGTTATTGAATTTCGAAAACAAATAGCAAATTGAGTTTTAGCTAATTTTGGTCACCATTAATTATATGTAATGACTATATTTTATATTCCCCAACAAAAAGTACACCACTTGTTTGGTTAATTGTGAGGCACACGATAATTAGATAACGTCTATGCACATCTATGCATTAATCTAATTAGCAATTAAATTGTTATTTTCATCCTTTATATCGTAAGAGATTTCACTAATTTACTACATTAAGGAAAAAAATATTTTTTTAGTATTGAAAAATCGGGGGAAGGACTATTCATGTGTATTTTTTTTTTTTTATTATTGAGTGTTGAGGGAACGGAATCTAAAACTGGATCTATTATTAGGTAATAAATATACTTACAACTGCGCTAAGAATTATTCATATTGTTAAGGCCACAATGTTATTTTAGCGTAGATGAGTACTTTGACAAATTCAGCCATGATTCCAATTGGTCGAATTAAATTTGAATTTGAAATCCAATGATAGTTTTCCATGCTGTTAAAAACATTTTCTTTAAAAAGTTCATTCACATTACTTCATCCTTGACCGTAAGGTAGCAATCATAAGTTTTTTTTTAAAGTTCATTCAAGGTACTTGTTGTAAAAAAAACATTTTTTTGAAAATAGATTCATTCAATTTCTATCTTATATTGTTAAATTTCAAAATTTTTTGATTATATATATTAGTCCTGTTAACTTTAATATTTAGGTTTTAAGTTCGAATTTGGATTTTTACTTTGTTTTCGACACCCTAAAAACTAAATGATTTTAACTTATTCGAAAAAAATCATGTTAATCGAAAAATAAAATAATAATTTGAAAAAAAAATCATGTTAATCGAAAAATAAAATAATAAAATAAAATAATTAACCATTATTATTTGATAATTAAATCATCATCACTTGGAAATCTAAACGTCCAGTACTTGCTATAAGATCATAAATACTCATTCTCATATTTTAAACCAACCCAAAAAGAAAAAAAAAAAAAGATACAAATGTTTCTTGTACGTATAAGATTGATAAGTAGGAGGGAAAGATACATATAGATACATATAGATACATATAATAATTTATACGCATATATGCGTATACCCAAACAACCGCGTAACAGACAGCTAAAAAACAACATTTGAGAATGATATTCTCATGCACGCTTAGGTTGGCAGTGTCCAATTTCGATTTGTAACGTAGCTAGTTAGTTGGGTATATAGGTGCTTATGTGTGACTTTCTTTTTTAAATGTAAGTTTAAATAATATTGTGCATTAAGATTGTAACGTTAGGCTTAGTTAGTTGGGTATATAGGTGGCTTATGTGTGACTTTCTTTTTAAAAATTGTAAGTTTTAAATAATATTGTGCATTAATGGATAAATATATATATATATTATATATATATATATATATATATTTGTATAAGTATCAGTTTAAATATATATATTTGTATAATAATCAGTTAAAACAAAAGTTTGGATAGAAGGAGGTATGTCCTCTAACCAAATGTCTTCTCCTAGCAAGTTAGGATGAATTAACTGAGATAACTCGTGTGCTACCTCGTCTTTACTATGATAAGCATGAACACAATGGACATTCATAAAATGGCTAATAAGAGAATCCATAATCAGCAGCCGTGTACCAAATCTGTCTTCGGTAATTCTAAGTATTAACATTTTGCACCAAAAGAGAGGAATCCAATTCAAGAGTTAGGGAAAAGAAACCTATATACATAGTTTTCTGCAGACTGAAGAGAGCTGCCTCTGCTTCTTCACTCTCAATTATAACAGACCCAATGAACTTTATCCTCGATCCCATCACTTCTCTTTTATCATTTCTAATGACAAAGCCCACTCCACAACCAAAACCATGGATTATTGATGCATCGACATTCATCTTATATGAAGCAGAGGGCGGAGGAGACCACGAATCGGTACATGCAGAATTGCTACCCGTAGAAACATTTGAATTAGCAGACTGAAAATCGTTACCGCACAACATAACCATATCAATGATTTGATCTTCTCTAAGCCTGCTACTCTGACATTTTGGTAAATTTCGAGATTTTTAAGGTGCTCGGGCTATCATCGAAAAGAGTTCAAGCTGCTTATGTTCGCAGTTCAAAGAAAAAACTTCAAACCATTTCATAACTTATGATGTTTTTAATGTTGGATTTAATTTTCTATTGTGGGCTTAATATGTAAAATTAAATATGTACAGCAGTCCAATTGTAAAGATTGTGGGCTTAATATGTAAAATTAAATATGTACAACAGTCCAATTGTAAAGTCAATTTCAAATGTGGTCTTGATTGTGAATAATTGACTATTGAGGTGTCAACTAATTATAGATATTAAGTGGAGAGACCATTATATAATTTCTATTTCGTTAAAGGACTGAAATAGGAATTGTACTAACCCTACAGGTATATAAAGGTCCTGTGGTCCCCAGAGAAGTTGAATACGATTCAGTTTTACGTTCCTTTCGTACTGCTTCCGCAAAATCGATTCTTCAATTCTCTGGAAGGCTACAAACCTAATTCTACGCATGAAGATCGACGAACAACGATGTCAGGTACGCAGCCTTTTCTTATTCAATCTATTTTGTTGAATCTAATAGTTTGCACGATCTAGGTTATTATTGAATTATTTGAGATTAATTTATAACACTTTATAGTCTTTTGTTTTGGGAGTTTCACAACCTTTGCCCCACCGTGCTTTGTATTGGATTGGAACGTCTACACTATTAGAAATAGTGTCGTGGTTGCCATTTGCCTCATCCCTGCATTCCACAAAAAAACCTTATGTAAATCAACATCCGCTATCCTGCCATGTTGGTAGCTATACAAACCTAAACAATTATAATAATCTTTAATTCATACTTATCTGATGTCAATTAATTTTTTTTTTTTTTTTTTTTTTTTTTTTAAAAAAAAAAAAAAAAAAAAAAAAAAAGAAGAAGAAACAGGCTGGTTTCTTTGAAGAGAGTCGGCGGAAAGGAGTTTCCGTCTCTGATTGTTTTTTTGGTTTTAAGGTTAGGGATGGTAAATTACGGTTAGGTCCCTGAAAAATTTCGTATTAGGCTCCTAAGTTTCTGTAACTTCAGATTAGACCCCTAATTTTCTGTAACTTCAGATTAGGCTCCTGAGTTTCTTTAACTTCTGATTAGGCCTCTAATTTTCTGTTTTCTTTCGTCTAGACCCATGGACATATATTTAATTAAATTAGACCCCCGAACTTTATTTATTCAAATTTATTTAGTCCTATAAATTTTCTGTAAATTTTTTTTCGTCTAGACCCGTGGACATATATTTAATTATATTAGAACCCCGAACTTTATTTATTCAAATTTATTTAGTCCAATTTTATAACTTAGTCTCTAATTTAGTGACTTAAAGACTAGATTATAATTTTTTTTTATTTTTTAGGGCTAAATAATTTTAGATTATTAAATATTTAGACAATCAATTCCTTTAATTGCAATTGTTTTGCTTTAATTACAATTAAATGAATTAATTTGTCGACTTGAGATTAAATTTTGGAGTGATTAAGTCCCTATTGTGTTTAATATTTGTTAAAATAAATTGATTTGATCAATAAGTCACGTCACCAAGAGTGACCTCTATTGCTTTTGATTGATTTTATTTTAGAATATTAGGACAGTGTGTATTTAGAATCGTTGCGATAGGTTAATCGCCCAAAGGAAGGTTGCTATCTGGCTGAGTTTTGAATACATGTTTGCAATAATATGCAATAAGTATGTGATAATTGTTTGATTATTTTCCATGACAATGATATATCGGTCCAAAGGAAGATTTATTATTTGTCAGGACTATGTTATCAATATTTGATTGCTGCGTTGAGATACTAATTACAAGTGAATATTTTACATCCAAAGATGAGAATATTAATGTTGAGTCTGTATCTTATTTCCATTTTTATCTCTACTTATGTGAATTGTTTCATTTGTGAATTGTGAGCTTATACTTATCTATTTGTTTATTTTCTCTGATGTCAGCTAACATGTCATTTAATCCTGATTGTGTCCCTAAACTTAAGGGTTTATAATCCTACTTCCAGAACTTTTTTTTGAAACGAGAATTGCAACATTTTTTGAGGATGTTGATTTTGGAGGGAGAAATAAAGAAAGAAACATTGTCTTTAAAGAGGAACCAAGTAAGGATGATTCGGTTCTCATTCCTTTTGTTGTTTCTGATAGCGTACAGACTCCAGTTGCTCCTGTCGCTATTCAAGATCCAATTCAAGACAATGCTATTCTTCCTCAAGAACAAATTCAACAACCTCAAGAATTAGAACCTGTTCAAATGCCTTTGAGGAGATCTACTAAGGAGAGAAGAAGTGCTATTCCAGATGATTATATAGTGTTTCTTCAGGAACATGAGGATACTGTAGACATGATAGATGATGATCCAGTTAGTTTTTATCATGCTATGCAGAGTTCTGACTCTCATAAGTGAATTGAGGCAATGAACGAAGAGTATAAGTCTATGCAAGACAATCAAGTTTGGGATCTTGTTCAATTACTTGGGATCTTGTTCAATTACCTGAAGGAAAGAAACCCATTGGTTGCAAATGGATATTTAAAACCAAAAGGGATTCTCAAGGTAATGTGGAAAGATATAACGCACGTCTTGTAGCAAAAGGCTTTACTCAAAAGGAAGGGACTGACTATAAAGAAACCTTCTCTCCAGTTTCTTCGAAGGATTCTTTTAGGACAATCATGGACTTAGTTGCAAATCTTGATCTTGAGCTTCATCAAATAGATGTTAAGACTACGTTTCTCAATGGCAACATTGATGAAACAATATATATGGTGCAACCAGAAAATTTTGTAATTGGAGATCCAAAACATCTGGTATGCAAATTAAAGAAATCCATTTATGGACTCAAGCGAGCTTCTCGTCAATGGTACTTTAAGTTCAACTAAGTAATTGTCTCGTTTGGCTTTGAGGCAAACTGTTGAAAATTGTGTGTACCATAAGTTCAGTGGGAGTTAGGTTTATCTTTTTGTCTTTATATCGTGGATGACATTACTTTCTTGCTACTAATTTGTAAAGTCTTGTTGCATTTGAAACCAAAGATTTTTCTTTCAAAGCCATTTTGAGATGAAAGATTTTAGGTGAAGCTTCTTTGTTTTAGGGATCAGATACATCGAGGACCGTTCTCGAGGTATTCTTGGATTTAATCACAAAAGAGCTATATTGATAAAGTGCTCAATCGAGATTTGGATGCAGAATTCTAGAGACCATTGGATACCCCTATTGCAAAAGGTGATAAATTTAGTAATCAACAATGTCCAAAGAGTGAACTTGAAATTTAGGAAATGCAAAAGGTTCCTTATACGTCAGCTATAGGAAGTCTTATGTATGTTAAAGTTTGTACTCGTCCAGACATTTCTTTTATAGTTGGCATGTTAGGTAGATATCTCAGCAATCTAGGAATGGATCATTGGAAAGCAGCCAAAAGAGCCATGAGATATCTTCAGAGGACTAAGGGACATATGCTCACATATAGGAGATCAGATCAGCATATAGGAGATCAGATCAGCTTGAGATCATTGGGTATACTGATTCTGATTTCGTTGGATGCCAAGACAGTAGAAAATCCACATCTGGCTACGTTTTCTATTGGCTGGCGGTGCTATTTCTTGGAAGAGTGTGAAACAAACTCTAGTAGCAACCTCTACCATGGTAGCAACCTCCACCATGGAAGCTGAATTTGTAGCATCTTATGAGGCATCCAATCAAGCTATTTGGTTGAGAAACCTTGTCACTGGGCTGCGTGTAGTAGGTGGAATAGAAATGTAGTAGGTGGAATAGAAAGACCACTGAAGTTGTATTGTGACAGCAGGTCAGCCGTTTTATTCTCCAACAACAACAGGAGCTCTTCTCGATGAAAACACATTGAGATTAAGTTCTTGGCTGTGAAGGAGAGGGTTCAGAGTGGACAGATATCCTTAGAGCATATTGGAACAAACTCTATGATTGCGGATCCGCTTACAAAGGCAGTGATAACGAAAGTTTTCCATGAGCACAACGCTCATATGGGTATCGTTTTGTTTGAGACTGTCTAGTTTTAGTGGGAGTTTGCTCTTTATGTATACGTTATGTTTTTTGAATGCTCTTATGTTTTTGAATGCTCTATTTTGTTTTGGATATGTTTTATTATGTTGATGAAATTTTATTGAGTACTCATTTTGGTTGATGGTTACACTCTGTATTATTATTGTTTTGCTTGATCTCACTTTTGTTGGTGACCAGTTGGAAACAAACATGATGATCACATTACATTTAGTTTTCATCCTACACTTCTATAATGAATCTGTGTCATTTAGGGGTATTGGTAAGGTAGTTGATGATGAACTTAGTCATAAGATCTATGGCGAATGTTTCTTCAGCTCTTTATCAATATAATTAATGGACGAGATTGTTTTTGGATACCTCGTATGACTGCGTTTGTTGAGCTCATTTTGGTGTATGTATTTTATTTAACATAATATGTCGCCCAAGTGGTGAGATTGTTGGATTTTTAATTTTCTATTGTGGGCCTTTTAATATGTAAAAATTAAATATGTACAGGCAGTCCCAATTGTAAAGTCAATTTCAAATGTGGTCTTGATTTGAATAATTGACTATTGAGGTATGCAACTAATTATAGATATTAAGTTTGGGTAGAGACCATTATAATAATTCCTATTTCGTAAAGGACGCGAAATAGGAATTGTATTAACCCTACAGGTTTATATAAAGGTCGTGGTCCCGAGGAGTTGAATAACGATTCAGTTTTACGTTCCTTTCGTACTGCTTCCCCGCAAAATCGATTCTTCATTCTCTGGAAGGCTGCAAACCTAATTCTACACATCAAGATCGACGAAACAACGATGTCAGTACGCAACCTTTTCTTATTCAAATGTCAGGTACGCAACCTTTTCTTATTCAATCTATTTTGTTGAATCTAGTGGTGTGCATGATCTAGGTTATTGTGGAATTATTTGAGATTAATTCATTACATTTAAATCATTAAAATTGGATGTGACAAAATTAGAATTAGTTCGTAGTCCTTTAGTAGGTCTTACACAGAAACAAGTACTAGCAAAAGGATGGATTGAAGTCACAATGAAGCTTGGAGATGATGAACATTCAATATTCCAAGCGGTTTGTAGTAGTAGACATTCCATTCCCATGCAATGCCATGGCCGACCACTGTTATATAATTTGAATGCATGTACATCAATTAAATATTTAACTTTGAAATTTACATTTAACAATAACATTGTAGTAGTCAAGGGAGGTCAACACACGGTCATGGAAGCATACATGATAGCACTAAAAGGACTACAATTATCATTACCTATTATGATGGTATACACACCACCATAAAATACGAGGATAAGGAGAATCAACAAAAAAGACTAAAGAAGAGGTTGAAGCATTCGACATGCCCAAAGAAAAAGCAGAATTAAATCCCGAGCTAGAATCAAAACCTCAACAAATTGAACTACAACCACGAAAGAATGTTAAAATTGGAACCAACATAATAAGGGTAACTTTAAATTCAATTACACAAATTTTGATTAAGTACAAATCTAATTTTGCTTGGCAGGCTAGTGATATTTTAGAGATTAATCCGGATATCATTAGCCATAAGTTTAATATTGATCCGTGTATAAAGCCCATATAGCAAAAATGGAGAAACCATGCTCCTGAGTGGAAAAAATAATAGCCGCTGAAGTAAATAAATTAACCAATGCTAGCTTTATTAGAGAGGTTACGCCCAACTTCTTTAGCCAATATTGTATTAGTACCCAAGCTAAATGGAAAGTGATGTCTGTGTGTTGATTTCACAGATCTCAATAAAGCATGCCTAAAAGACTCAGACCCTCTTCCAAAAATTGATCAATTAGTCGATTCAACTGTTGGCTATGAAATATATAACTTTATGAGTGTAGCTGCAAGATATAAAATAGAAATGAACAAAGAAGATAAAGAGAACATCATTTATAATGGATAGAGGCATATATTGCTACTGAATCATGCCATTCGCTCTAAAAAAATGCATGAGCAACTTATCAAAGAGTTGTCAATCATATGTTCAAAGACCTAATAGGAGAATCAGTAGATATCTATGTTAACGATATGATCGTGAAAAGAAATAAAGGCTGAACAACATGCACAAGATTTGGATAAAGTATTTTAAATATTAATATGGTAAACCCTGACAAATATGTTTTTCATGTAAAAAAAAAAAAAAAAAAAATTCTTAGTCCATGATCTCACAAATAGGAATTAAAGTAAATCTGATAGGTCCCAATCAGAGTTAACAAAGATATAGTCTAAGAAGTTTGATAATTTTTTGTTCATCATCCTTCTGCTGCAAATACAAGGATTTTAGTAGGAGAGAAAATAAACCAACTAGTCCTATTCTAAAGGCCACAAACGACACAATTGAGTGAAAGTAGGCAAATATGTTGCAACAATCTCAACAGCATATCTGATTTATTCAACATGAAACTGATTAATAAAAAAATTAATTAAAAACAATTACAACAGTAAAACGATAGTTTTGTAGCAGCAACTCAGTCTTCAAACATCTTATTCATCACACGAGTCCTTGAAGACCTTCTTGGTGGAGTGCTCGAGTCCTTGAAGACCTTCTTGGTGGAGTGTTAACATTACCGCCCCCTCGGACAATAACCTTGTCCTCAAGGTTAAGGTTTGCATAGTTCTCTTTGATGAAGTTAGAGTCGACCCAAGAAGCATCTTCGGGTAGCAATTTCTTCCACTTAATTAAGTTCTGTTTAACATATTTGGCCCCTCTCTTAATCCAGCGTGTATCCAATATAGCCTCAGGTTCTAAAATCAGCTCACCATCATCAGAAATTAGAGGCAGCGATATTGGAGGCAGCGATTGAGAAGTCAGAACTGTATCACCAACCCGTTTTCTCAAAAGCGACACATGAAAAAATGGATGGATGCGAGACTCAGCTGGAAGTTTAAGTTTATAAGCTACCTGCCCAATTTTTTCCTCAATCTGAAATGGGCCATAAAATCTGCAAGCAAGCTTTTGATGCTGTCGAGCAATCACAGACTGTTGGCGATAGGAATGAAGTTTTAAAAATACCCAATCACGAACTGCAAACTGTACATCACGCCTTTTTGCATCAGTATATTGTTTCATTCAATTATTGGCAGCCGCAAGATTAGATTTCAGCTGTAGCAGCAAAGCGTCTCTAGAAAGGAGATTTGATCAACTTCATTGACAGAACTTGTACCTTCACAGTAACGTGGAATGGTAGGTGGCAGTCTCCCGTATAATGCTTGAAAGGGAGTCATTCCTATGGATATATGGAAGGTTGTATTGTACCAAAATTTCGCCCAAGGCAGAAAAGAATACCATCGGCGAGGCTGTTGAAACACAAAGCAGCGAAGATACTGCTCAATACAACGATTAACCACCTCCGTCTGTCCGTCTGTTTGTGGATGATAAGCGGAACTCATCTTCAACTGTGTCCCTGACATTTTGAAAAACTCACTCCAAAATTGATTGATTAATATTGGGTCACGGTCAGAGATGATGGTTCGTGGCATTCCATGAAGTTGATGGTTCGTGGCATTCCATGAAGTTTGAATATGTTTTCAACAAATTTTTCAGCCACCACCTTGGCTGAATATGGGTGAGTCAAGGCCAAGAAGTGAGCTGATTTGCTCAGCCTGTCAACCACAACCAAAATAGAATTCTTACCATGTGAAGTTGGTAATCCATCGATGAAATCCATAGTAATGTCATCCCAAAGTTAGCAAGGAATTGGAAGAGGCCGGAGCAACCCGGCCGGAGATAAGGCCTCACTTTTGACACATTGGCAAATCTCACAAGCAGCTACATACTTCTGCACTGATTTATACATTGAGGGCCAATAGAATTGCTGAGCCAGCCTTTTATATGTTCTCAAAACATGTTCCTCAAGAACACGCAGAATGGCAGCCAAAGAGGAGAACTACATACAATAATTGCTGAATAATGGGAGATTAAGGGGGTACAACAACCCTATTTTTGTAGCATATCAGTCCATTCTGCCACTTGTAGGGGCTGCTAGAATTGGTTGAAGCTTCCTTGCCAATCTTGAGCATATAAGGATGGGTTTTGGCTTCGTCTTTGATTGTATCCCATAATTGAGTTTGGGAAACAAACAAAGCATCTAGAGTTGGGCTGCCAGAAACCCTAGATAGCGCGTCAGCAGCTCCATTTTCTTTCCCCGACCTATAACGAATTTCATAATCATACCCAAGGAGTTTAGAAACCCATTTTTGTTGTTCAGGCGTCACCACCCGTTGCTCCAATAGGTGTTTGAGGCTGCGTTGATCTGTATAAATAAGAAATTTGTGGCCAAGTAAATATGGTCGCCAAGTCTGGACTGTAAATATGGTCGCCAAGTCTGGACTGCCTGTACAATAGCCAACATCTCTTTGGCATAAATGGACCAAGATCGTTTACTGCTGCCCAAGGCTCTGCTCATGAATGCAACCGGCCTGCCCTGCTGTGTTATGACTGCACCGATGCCCTCACCAAAAGCGTCGAACTTAATGACAAAAGTATCATTAAAATTTGGTCTAGCAAGGGTGGGAGTGGTTGTCATTGCCATTTTTAGCCACTGGAAGGCTATGTCTGCTGCCTCATTCCATTGGAAATTCCCTTTCTTCAAAAGATTAGTGAGCGGTTGAGCTATGAGGCCATAAGCTATGAGGCCATAATTGCAGACGAACTTCCTGTAATAACCTGTAAGTCCCAAAAATCCATGTAATTCAGTGATGTTAGTGGGTGTAGGCCAATTCAACATTGCCACAATTTTAGTTTAATCCTGTGACATCCTATTTTTTTTTAGGAGGAGAGAACTGTGACATCCTACCGAGTCGAGTCGAGTCAAGTCGAGTTGAACCAAACCCGGTTGGGGTAGAATGGGTTTATAAGTGGACTTACTTGTTTGAGAGAAAAAGATCAAAGTATAAGGGTTAGGATTTATTTGCATTAAAAGATCAAGCTTGGGTATTAAGTTATAGCTTTTTGCCACTTGAGGTACCATTTAGTAAGTTTCACATCATTTTTCTTGATATTTTGATGGCCTACCCGTGATAATCATTTTCACTTTCCCATTTTCATCTTTATCTTCATCTTCTTCATCTCCTTCCTTCTCCATTCATTTTCATGGTAGTTTAAGGCAACCTCAATTTTCTCCAAGTAAGTAGAATTTCTTGAAACTTTATATTATTCAACCTCTAATTGAGCTATATTGTAGATAAGTTATAAGAATTCTGATGTGTATAGGAGAAGGGAGTTCAAAGGTAGTAGAAAAAAGAAGAAAGGTAAGTAGAAAAAAAGAGTTAAAGAAGAGATCAAGCTTTTTGGGAGTTATAGGTTTGATATTATCTCTTTTTCATTTACCATTTTCTTTTGCATGGAATTTTGTGTGGTGTGGTGCTAATGAGACATATTGCTTTATGTTGAGGGGAGGACTGGTAAGTGGTGAGAAAACAGGGGAGGAATTGAATAAATGAAGTTAAATAGTGAGTTTATGCTGAAACAGGTTTTGCTGGAAAATTTTACCAGTAGCTTCATCTTGATTTTGACGCCCATTTAATGAGGAATTAGGAAGTGTTTATAGAAGAGTTATCTTTTTGTTCGCTCTATGTGTTAGCTTTACATGGGCTTTTGAATCATCCAAATCAGAAGTTGTTATATTGAAGAGATATGACAAAGAGTACGCAGACTGTGCAGGCTGGAAAACGCGACGCGCGCGGCGCGGATTGCCATGACGAGCTCGGCGACTTGTGCCTGAACTTCACTGCTCTCATTTTGCACATTACGCGCTTCATTTTGCACATTACGCGCTCGCGACTTTCATTTGCGCGCTCGCGACTTTCACCTGAAACTCTCTGACTCTCATTTGGTGCTATACGCGCTCGCGACTTTGCACTGCGCGCTCCCGACTTGTGCTCGATAACTCACTGACTCTCATTTTGCACTTCTCGCGCTCGCGACTTTGCACTGCGCGCTCACGACTTTCACCTGGAAACTCACTGACCTTCAGGTGTGCTTTGCGCACTCGCGACTGTGCAAGGCGCGCTCGCGACTTGTGTTTTCATGCACTTTTGGACTTCTTTTTCTATGCAATTGGATTCCTTTGCTCAATTTGTATGCCTCGTATGCCTCCAATCAATTTTACAACAAAATACAACAATTAGAAAACATGTATCAAAACAAGCATGCAAGCATACAAATGATGTGAATCAATAAACATTATGATTTATGAAGTTTATGAACTATGAAATATGATGTTTGTGTTATATTATTGACATACACATTAGGCTTCCATTGAGGTTAGGTAGAAACGCATTTAGATAAGGCTATGTCGCGACATAGGATAGCAGATCTGCACCTCAATAGCAGTTTGATACTGCCGGCTACAGGCCGTTGAGTGGAAGATGATTATATAATGGGCCATAGCAGCCAAGCATACAGTATTTATCCAGTTTTCAATACAATTTTTCTTATCACTATCGGCTTTCAATTATAACGCTTATGGAGCCATACAGATATCTCTTGACATAACATTTTCATGAAATCATACAGTATTTATAAACAGTAACGAAAGATTAATCAAGGTATAAGGAAAGGATCATGCCTATATGTGCTTATATGTTTAATTATCCATATGCATTTACATGCTTATTTCTATCCTAATGTATGTGCTAATTGTTCTCTTTATATGATGAGATATGCCACTTTGAGCTTTATTTGCTTCAGCGAGTTACCTGTTTTAACTCGCAGGTTTTGAAATTGGACGCGTGAAAGTCAGCTTGCACTGCTGCACGTTTCATCTGTTAGAAGACCTTAGTCTTCCAGGTGTAGCCTACTCATTTGGATGTGTATCTTTTGGTCTACCCTTTTTATGGCATGTCAGGCCACAGTTTGGGCCCATTTCATTTTGACACTAGTATCATGTCTTTTGTAGAATATAATTACTTTAATTATTGTAAACAACATCAGCATGAAAATATTATATTCATATTCAATATACATTATGATGTCAGCATGACAAGACATAAAGTCAACCAGTTTGTAGCGTCTCGGTTCGGTTCATTCGGGTTAACGGGTGGACCGGGAAGGGATGTTACAGATCCACTTTAACCCCATAAGGAAAATCCACAGAAATTCTGGACAGCTTAAGAGATGCAACCACCACAAAATATCAATGGAGTTCAGAAATTAAATGGACAACCCACTGCACTCGGAAGGTTCATTTCTTGCTCAGCCAAAAGATGATTATCTTTATATAAAATCTTGAATAATATTAAAGAATTTAATTGGATAAAACAATATGTCAGGTAGCTTTCCAATAAGTAAAAATTGTCTTAGTTCTCCTCCACTCTTTCGCAGACCCAAAAAAGGTGAATTATGATATTTATATTCTATCGAAAACTCAAGAAATATTAGCATCATTGTTAGTCAGGGAAGAATGAACCAAAAAAATGTCCATTATATGTAAGCAAAGTCTTAAAGGGAGCAGAATTTTGATATCCTCAAATAGAGAAGCTTGCCTTCACAGTCCTGGTAACTTCAATTAAAATCAAAGCATTACTTCCAATCTCACATTGTATATGTTCGTACTAATTTTTCTTTGAGAAAAGTTTTACATAGAATAGGAACATTGAAAAGAATGATGGAGCGTTTAGAAACTCGGAGAATTTGATATTCAATATGTACCCCGCACAACATTGAAGGCACAAGTTTTAGCAAATTTTGTGGCAAGATATATAAGAAAAATAACACTAAAGAGTTACTGAACAATGAGCGTTAGCTATGGAATGATACAATAATGGAACATAAAGCATTACAGGAGCAGGAGCGGCAATAGTACAAAGAACCAAGAAGATCAAATTGAAATATATAGACCAATTCAATTTTACCACAACAAATCATGTAATTGAATGTGAAGCAATAACAACAGGAATCAGAGTAAGTAAGAGTTGAAAATTTGGTAATTTTTGTGATTCACAATTGGTTGTGAATCAATTGACAGGAAAAATTAAAGTTAAGGAACCTTCATTGATCAAATACAAATTGTTAGCAATAGATTTGTTAACATAGATAGAGAAAAAGAAGACGACAAATAAAAATAAAACAAATCCCAAGATCAAAAAATTCTGAAGCAGACGCCATAGCAAAAGCAGCAATAAAAGGAGAATAGGCAGACAAATACATTCCATTAGAAATTCAAAAATTACTGAGCATAGAATAAAAGGAGATGCTGCTAATGTCAAAATTTGAGGGATGGATAAAGGCAATAAAAATAATAAGAAAAGCATCTAATTACACATATGATTAGTAAATTTTATACAAGAGATCAAAATGTCATCCATGGTCAAGATGTCTAGATGAGGAAGAAGCCAAATGTGTTCTGAAAGAATTACATGTAAGGCTTATGCAGAACACGTGAAGGATCTAATGCAATTTTTAGAAAAATCAATCTTGGATACATTGGCCCATAATGAAAAAATATATATATATAAAAAGTAAGAACATGCATACAATATTAAAACTTTAGCCGAGTGCCAAACAACCAGTGTCTGAGATGCAGTCTTTAGGAGGAGCATGGTTGTTTGCACAATGGGGAATGGATATACTTGAATCATTTTCCACAACAACAAGGAAAAAGAAATTTATTATGGCCACAATTGACCAGTTTTCAAAATTGGTAGAAGCTAGGGCCCTATCTATAATTACTCTGAATAGGATTATAACTTTCTTCCAAAACAATGTTCTTTTTATTTATGACATACCAAATAGTGAAGTCATAAACAACGACAAACAATTTGACTCGTTACCATTCAAAAAATTTTACAGTAATTGGGGAATAAATTTACATTGCACATTAGTAGTGCATCCACAAATAAATGGCTTAACAGAGGTAACTGACAGAACTATTTTGTAGGGATTAAGAAAATGTTAGATGAAGAAGATAAATTGGGCAAAAGAATTAAACAGTATCCTTTCGGAAATACCGAACAACTCTAAGAACATCTATAGGAGTAACTACACTCTCATTAGTATATGGAGTAGAAGTTGTGATAATAATAGAGATTGAGATGCCAAGCAAAAGAATAATTTATTTCAATACTAATCAAAATACGCAAGATCAAAAAGTAAACTTGGATATGGTAGAAGAACGAAGAGAAGAAGCAAGTCTCCGAGCAGAAACAAAAAACAATAAATGATGAATATTACAATAGAAAGTTAGAACAAGTTTCCAAGTCAAAGATCTAGTGTTAAAGAAAATAGAAATCACAAAAGGGTTTGCTGGAGTTGGCAAACTTGGCCCAAATTAGGAAGGACCCTATAAAATTACACAGCAATATGGACCAAGCAATTTCAAAATAAAGAAAATTGGAGGATCATAATTACTCCGAACTTGGAATGCAGAAAATATCATATGTAAGATCTAGACTGCTCTACTTAAATAAATAGATAGATAAAAGTCATATTTTTCACCTAAGCATTAGGATCCTAAGAATGGGGTGTAATAGTGAAGCTCAGGAGAGCTCAGGAATAGAATTTGGATCCTAATAAACAGGTTTTTTTCTAGAATTTTATGAAAAATCTCGTCTTCTACTTACTTCAATACTAACAGAGCCAAAAAGAAGAAAAAGATCTCTCAAAACTCTAAACCTAAGCAAGTTTGGAACTATTTGTTATTTCTTTAAAGGCTTAAGAAGCTCAAAAATTATTAAAATAAAATAGAATAAGAAAGGAAGAATTATTGTTCCCTTAAATAGAACATTACATCCACAATTGCTCATCTATATTCCCAGGATTAACAAAATCAGTAGTTATATTTTCTTCAGAAGTAATAATGGCTTCTCCTTGGGGATCTTGATCCTGAATAGCTTTGATTGGTTCAGGATTATTGACATCAGCCTTCTCGAACAGTGGCATTTTAGAAATAAAATCGAAATCTTCAGTAAAATGCTTCTTCAAATCAGTAATCATTTTAGTTTGAAATATCTCAATTGTATTGAGCAACTAATTGTTGCACTAAGCACACCATGAGCCTTCTCTAGGCCAAACTTAATTGTTCCCCTCAACAAAAAGGTTGCCCTTTTCCAAATTAACAGAAGCTTTTTTCCTTTAGAAAATTAGCCTTCTCCTGAACTGGCAAAGACTTTTCCTCCTCCAATTTGTCATTTGAATTTCTCAACTTAAGGCATTTTCTGCTATCTTTTGGCACTCCTCAGTAGCTTCCCTCAACTTCTCTTCAATCTCTCCCACAGCCTTGTTATGAGCTTTAACATTGTTGTCCAGGAGTTTTCTAGTAGTCTTCATATAAAGCTTTGTCTTATTTTTGGCCAACTCAAGTTCATAGTAGTTAATCCGAAGATTATTATATATATTAGAAAGTTTGGCTGAAAGCACCTGCATCGAATCCTTTCCATAACGGTTCTATCCATTCTCTCAGCAACTTCCTTTTATTGTGAAGTTTTAGGAATCGTCTTCTCAAGCCTAATACCATCCTCCTTGTAGTATTTTTAAAATGGTCCTATGTACCAACCACCATTATCAACTCTAACACACTTCAATTGTCTTCACGATTCTCTTTCAACACTAGCATGGAAGTACTTAAACATATCTAGCACATGGTCTTTTGATTTCATAGGGAAAACTCATACTTTTCTAGGATGATCATCAATAAAAGTAACATAATATGTGTAGCCACTAATAAACTTGTCAGTCATAGAACAAACATTAGTATGTATCAAATCTAAAAAATCAGGCTTTATAAAAGGAGATGGGGATCTATGAAATAAAACTCTATATTGTTCACCAGAAAAATAATCAATGTTGATCTTTAAATGCATATCTGTCAATGGTAGGGTCTTCTTTTTAGAGGTAGCTCAAGTAGCATCTCACTTAAATGATTAAGTCATTTATGTCATAACTCTATAGAGAAAGCTTCAGATAGATTCACAATCCCTGTGCAAATCTTAGCTTGGTTATAGTAAAGAGCGCTCTACTTCTTTCCTTTAGCAAATATCAAGTTGCTTCTTGAAAGCGTCCATATATCGTTGGTAAAGGAATTTTCATAACCCAAATCACTAAGCATAGGAACAGAGATGAGATTAAAGCATGCATCAAGAGTGTATCTCACATCTTCCAACTAAAGTTCATGGCCAACATTGATGTCAATACATATCCTCCCAATGCCACGATGTTCAGCAAGTGTGCCATTTACAACATTTTGACATGGCTAAAATTACTAAGAGTGAGGGAGGCAAAGTATTCTCTTTTAAAAGCAATATGGTATGGACATGCATAGTCAAGCACCAAAATGGAATCTTGATTGGTGGAACTCATTACTATCATCATGAGAAATAAATGCATCACCAACAATCACAACTGAATCTTACTCTTTTTCTTCTTTCTTTTCCTCATCTTTCTCCTTTACCTATTTCTTCTTCCACTTTTTGCATTGTTTTTTATATGACTAGGCTTTCAATAATGATAAGACGTAATACCCTTTCTTGAATTGGTTCTCCTCCTTGACTAGTAATGTTTTTCTGGATTTTGAGGATATCTAATCTTACTTTCCCTTGTCTTTCTATGACTGTAATAAATGCTTTTAAATGGCTACTTAACTCTTGTTCCTTACACCTCTTTATTTAGAATGTTATCCTTAACTGTAATTAAAGTTAGCTTCCCTTCAGGAATTGAGTTGCTAAGTGATATAACCAAAGTCTCCCAACTATCTGATAAGGAACTCAACAGAAGTAGTGTCTTGACCTCATAATCTAACAATAAATTCACAGTAGCCAACGAGTTTAAAATTTGTTAAATTTGTTCAAGTGTTCCGAGCATTCACTCCATCTTTATGCTTCTTTCATGAGTTTTCTTGTCATAAAGGCCTTGTTATATGCATTTTTTCGTTTATACAAGCTCGCAAGCTTTGTCTATAGTGAATAGGCTTTTGTTTTCTAAGCAACATGGTGAATAACACACAAGTCATCCGCCGTTTGATTACTCCGACAGTTTTTCCATTAATTTTCTTCCATTCACTCATAGCTCTTCTTACTGGCTTGACTCCCTTCAATTCAATGGTGTCAAATAGATCTTTACAATATATAAGGTCTTTCATTGGCATCTTTTATGTTAGATAAATTCAATGAAGTGAATTTAATCATAGTGCTTGTCGATTTATCATCCATCTATATTTACACAAGAATACCTACAAAACAACCAGATGCTCTAATATCACTTGTTGGGAAAAGGACATAAAACACAAGCACAATGGAACAATAACAACCTTGATCAATTCTTTTTTGTGCAAATCAAATGGACAACACTAATATATCAAGATAATAGCCAAAATAATAGTCTAGCAAAATATTAAAAATCATCAATACATAAGAACACTAATTTTTATGTGAAAAACCCTCCAAGGAAAAGAGAAAAACCACAGAAAAATAGTCCAAAATCTTCCTCTAATAAAATTAATGGTCTGCACAAAGTTTCTCTATAGATCAACTAGAGACTACACAAACATCATCAAGCCATACCCTTGGTTAATACAAATTAAATCGTCACCCAAAAAGGTGGATTTCAATAACAAATACAAAAGATAAAATGATTAGATCTCATCAATTGAGAGAGTCAAACCAAGAATCAGAATTGTTCAACTTGTAGAGCTTGGTGAGTAGGGTATCGTATTAATATTTCATCAAGATCAAGTAAAATTAACCATCTAATTAAGGCTCTTAAATTTCTGATTGAGTTTCTCCTTCTCTCTAGATACTGCTTTCTTTTTTTATATTTTTATCGTTTTGGTTGTCTCACATGCACACACTACACACAGCAACCCTATACCTCTTCTTTTCTTTTAACTCAACTGCAAAACTCACTTGACTGCGAAACTCATGCCAACACTCTCAATATCTTGACATATCAAATTATCAATAATTGCCTAATGCTTCAATAATATCAATATCATATTACTCACATGCCAAAATATTATGGGTCAATACATAAATTGTCCTCTGTATTTTTCACGAAAAATCTTATGTCATCCTTAACTTTTACTTTTGACCTATTGAACACTTCAACTTATAAAATTAAATCTATTAAATATTTTAATTGACCTATTGGACACATCAACTTATAAAATTAGATCAAATAAATGCCTATTAGATTATTAAAAAATGTAAAAATTATTGTTTCAAAACTTGTATTAACCACATACCAAATCAATACTTTGCATGTAGAAACCAAAAATCTGAAAAATTTATTGTTTCTAACATGGCAAGATGTGAATTATTATAAAAGAGAAGTTCAAGGTGCCACAAGGTCTACTTTAAAGTCCAAGGTGCCATAAAGTTTTTTTGTTAAACTTCAGGAGTTAAATTATGTATTCAGCCAAATATTATGTGTTTAACTTAGTCGAATATATAAAATTCATCTGTAAACTTTATTATTTTAATTCTGTGGCACTCTTAATTTTTATTTTGACTCATTAAACACTTTAATTTATAAAATTACACATATTAAACATTTTAATTCACAAAATCATTTATTAAACACTTCAACTTTTAAAATTAGCTCAATTAAACATTTATTAATAGCCAGAAAAGTGACCCCGGTGGGTGAGATAGGATGATAGAAATCCCTTCTCTTTTAACCAAAGTTCTCGAGCTCGAGCCGTAAGGTTTCCCCCTTTGTGGTGGACATTAGGGAGTGAGTATTTTTCCCTCCTTTATGAGCATGTCCAACGCGAAAATAGTGAGAAAAGTGAAAATTATTGTTCTAAAAATTTATTAACTACACATCAAATCAATATTTTACATATAAAAACCTTAAAAGTTATCACTATTAATTTATATAACTATTAATGTATATATTTAATAAAAATTAAGTGCTACACAGCTAAAAAAGCAAAATTCAAAGACGAATATATATATATATTTAGTCATTTTAATTTTGGCCAAGTGCATAAGTTCACCGTTATGTGCTTCACAAAATAACAATAAAGTTTATGGTGTACAAACTTCAATGAAAAACTTATTTTGCAGAGATTTAAGAATTTTGATAATATTATTTAGATCGATATGCTATCAACAAAATGAATATCGATATGCTATCAATAAAATGTCCATTTGATGTATGATTAATATTTTTTTTTAAATAAGTTCTACATTTTCTACTATTCAATAAATATTTAATCAATTTAATTTTACAAATTGAAAATATTTAAAAATATAATTTATAAATTGAAATATTCATTTGATCAAAGTAAGTGATAAATGTGACAAAACTATTCGAATTTATGTAAATCCAAGTGCCATCAGGAACAATTGTCCAGCTTATCACCTCGTTTTAGCAAAGAGAGAATTACAGTGACTAAACTTCTCAGATTGTTTACCAATATCTGAACTTTATAAGGAGACAACGGCAAAACATTTAATTAGAATCAGAGTATTTATGTGCGACTCAGCATGTATAGAAAAACCAAGATGCCTTGGGCTAAAACAGGTGTATGAAAATAAGCATCAAAAACAAGATTTTAGACAACATCTGGCTTCCACAAAGGGAGATTTATCCCTGGATGACCGTTATTGTTCTTTAGTTTAATGGATTTTGAGGGCCTCAGTAGGGATAATTAATTGGCTCCTTTTGCAACGCCTTTTGCACAAGCTCAGTCTGCTCCTTCACATGCACCTGGTAGAAACCAGTAGCTGTCGCAGCAGATGGAGCTCGTCCGACATACTTGACGTCCTCCGTAGTTCCCCTTCCCAGTGCATGCATGGCAGTGCTAAGGCGAGGTGTAATGTAATTGTATGCACCCATGTTCATTGGCTCTTCCTGGCACCAAACGATTTCCGCATCTGAAACAAAAAAGAATATGGTGTCAAAAGATATTCTTTGCAATGTCAATGGAGAAACAAGCAAGAAATAAAAATAAAAAATAAAAATAAAAAAAAAAATTTACTCATAAATAATCACAAGTAACCCACACAAACCCACACAAGAAACCATCGAGTTCAATTAACTGGAAATTAAATAACCGAATGCTAACTATTTTGTCATGCAAAGTATACATGCCAACAAAAGGAAGGAAAACTTCTTTTGGACCATAGCTTTTTATCAAGCTACAAGTTTGCAAAACATACTTGGATATCGCTTAAGCTCACGCTGGATCAGATCATATGGGAATGGACACAGCTGCTCCACTCTACAAATTGCAACATCCTTTGCACCAGTCTTTTTGCGTTCTTCATCAAGCTCATAATAAACCTGCAAGCAAATATTATACATTAATATCTTCCATCACATCTTTAGAATGAAACCAAAATTCAAAAGGAGTAGAAGAAAAAAAATACCAAAAGCAAAGGGCAAAACGCACCTTTCCGGAGCAAAGAACCAGACGTCTGATACCCTCTTCAAGATCAGCATGGTCATTCTGATCCTTTATCAGACGCTTAAATCTGGTTCCCTGTTTGTCAAAGCCAGGATGGCCTTGGACATCGTCAAACTCAGACAGATTTGATTTGCAGTCCTTGTGACGAAGTAGGTTTTTGGGAGCCATCACAATGAGGGGCTTACGGAAATCTCTGTGTATCTGAGACATGAGAGTAGAAAACATAAGAACAAGAAGACGCTCATCTACAAGCAGGAAGCAGTTTCATGAAGCAATTAGTTAACTGTACTCACCTGGCGCCGCAAGACATGGAAGTAATTAGCAGGGGTTGTGACATTCACAACCTGCCAGTTACATTCCTGAATTTGTTTCCGGAGAGTTGGGTCCATTTCAGGAATAACATAAGGATTATCATCACTCATCTGCAACAAGAAACAACTATGAGTTAAGACCATGAAATTACACACAAATGTGCGCATATAACTGAAAAGCCAGCAATTGGACAGACTACAGTATTAGATAACCAAACAACGGAATCATGAAGACCTAACAAGACTGGACTCATGAAACACTTTTGTTAGCTCCTTCCATAAATCCCTTTTAGAGTGTTTCAACACTCCCCTGATCGACCTTCAACAAATTCCAACTTCTGGACTACCAAATCAATGTTTAAAATGTAAGACCAAGTAGACATGCAGATACTACACGTCCAATAACAGTAACCATACAGTTCGTGTGATTTTTCTTTTGGAATTAACAGAAGAAAGCAATGAAACAGGAAGGATCCACCGGATAACAGGTTTATCTAAAGCACACTGCAAATCCGATTAGGGAATACGAATACCTGAAGGAAGCGTTCCAACCGTGCACTTGAATGTTCAGGACCCTGACCGTCATATCCATGAGGAAGAAGCACAACTAGCCCAGTTTGACGCAACCATTTTGATTCACCACTGCTCAGGAACTGGTCAAATATCACTTGGGCCCCATTAGCAAAGTCACCAAATTGAGCTTCCCAGATTACTAATGAATTGGGACTTTCCATTGAGTAACCCAATTCAAAACCTAGAACACCAAACTCTGAAAGAGAACTGTAGAAACAAATATTTTGCTTTTATTAGTGGCAAAAATAATTAAAATAACACCAATTCGACAAAAAATATATATATATATTTATCTCGGCCATTATATGGTACACAGTTCCAATGTCCTCAAACGAGTAGAAACATGAGAAATATAGTATAGTACCAGCAGCTCAAGTTATATTCATTTATTTTCTTTACCATAAAAGTTGCAATGAAAACATTAGACTTATAATATGGTACCTGTTGCTGACAGTAAACATCTCCTCATCTTGGTTCATAACAACATGGTCCAGAGGGCAATACTTCTCCCCGTTTTCTTGATCATGAACTACAGAATGCCGATGACTAAATGTACCTCTTTCAACATCCTGACCACTCAATCTAACATGATTACCTTCTACAAGTAAAGTAGCAAAAGCAAGGGCTTCTGCAACTGCCCAGTCAATTCCTTCCCCTGTTTCAATCATTTGTGCACGATGTTCATAAACCTTTTTTACAGCTCTGTGAGGCTTGAAATTCTCTGGAAGAGTTGTGATTGCTTTGCCAACATTCTTCAAGATCTCAGGTTTCACCCTGCATAATAATGTCAGTACAAGAGGCCTAAGTCAACAGCAGCTTGAACACTAAGGACTGGTACATACCCAGTGTTGCGGACACGTGACAGCTGCTCAGGAGACTTAAACCCAGCCCAATGAGATGAAAGCCAATCTCTTCTTTTAGGGACATAATCTTTGCTAGCCAAGAATTCTTCATTAAGGATTGTAATGACCTTCTTCTGTATCTTCTTAATATCTTCGTCACCCACCTGGCCTGATTCTAAAAGTTTCCTTTGGTAAATTTCCAGAGCTGAGGGATGGTTTCGAATGACCTGTTAACTCATTTAAATAAGGTATGAGAAGTTCACTTAAAGCATTTGATGACAGCAGTTGATAGATGCTACTAACAGAAAAATCATGACATACATCCACAGCAACAACAAAAAAGAAGGTGGGGGGAAGGAAAGGCAGAAAGCAAGATGAATTACAAGGAACCGATAACTGGACTAACCTGATACATTTTGGGTTGTGTGAAAGATGGCTCATCAATCTCATTATGCCCAAATCGACGATAACAAACCAAATCAACCACAACATCCGAATGGAAAGTCTGGCGCCATTCAGCTGCCAGCTCACAGGCATGAACAACTGCCTCCACATCATCTCCATTTACATGGAAAATTGGGGCATTCAAAGCCTTTGCAACATCAGTGCAATACTGAGAAGATCTGCCTGCCCTTGGATCAGTTGTGAAAGCAACTTGGTTATTCACCACAATGTGTATAGTCCCACCAGTAGTGTAGTTTGGCAGTGCACTAAGATGCAGAGTTTCATACACTACACCTTGACCTGCAAAGCTACCATCACCATGAATCAAAATTCCCATATTTTTTGTCCTGTCTGCATCTTGGGAGTAATATTGCTTAGCTCTAGTCTTTCCAACAACAACTGGATCCACAGCCTCCAAGTGACTAGGATTTGCAACCAAAGACAAATGGATTCTCTTTCCACCTCTGGTTGGACGATCATAAGAAGTTCCCAAGTGATACTTGACATCACCAGTTCCTGTGTAGAGACCAACTTCATCTACAGGCTTTGTGCCACCACTAAATTCGCTAAATATTTGTCGGAGAGGCTTCCGAACAACATTACCAAGAACATTTAATCTTCCTCTATGAGGCATTCCAATAACTATGCTCTCAACTCCAAGATCTGCAGACCTATCAAACATCTCCTTCATGCCAGGAATCAGAGTTTCCCCACCTTCAAGCCCAAACCTCTTTGCTGTTGTCCACTTTGTAGCCAAGAAGTTCTCAAATTGTGTGCTCCATATCAACCTATCAAGAATAACCTCACGACGCTGACGATTGTACTGCATAGGAGTTGGGGTTTCAATCTTGTCTCTCAACCAGTTACATTTATCCCGATCTGCAATGTGCATATACTCAAAGCCAATGCTCCCACAATAAGCCTGCTCAAGCCGAGTCAATATGGACCTAAGGGTCTGCACTGGACGGTTTTCAGATAAGAACCCAGACATTCTCCACACCCCTAAAAAGAATTCTCGATCAAGATCAGCTTCTGTAAACCCATAAAGTGCTGGGTCTAAATCCTCAGGAATTTCTCTTTCTTCCAACCCCAGTGGGTCCAACTTAGCTTTCATGTGGCCATTAACCTGGTATGCCCTCACAAGCAACAGTAAACGCATACTCTCCTGAATTGTCTGGCCTGAAATTCCAGGGGATGTTGCTGCCTGACCCACAAAGTTTCTAAAGAAATTGTCCCATGACTCATCCACACTATTTGGGTCAGCTTCCCAAGCTCTCTGTAGCTCCTCCAAGTAAACACTGCTGGTTCCATCTAAGAAGCTATCAGTTAGCCTGGAAAGAGGAACAGGTCGTGGGACTGGTGCAGTTTGCGCCTTGGACTTAAAGACAGTGGTATGGAAATATCGACTCTGAGATGGAATGAACCGTACTCTAGTTGTGTACGACCCACTCTGACATAGAGTCCTCTTAATGGCAAGCCTTGCAACGTTAGTGCCTGCTCTAAACCACGCCATTGATAACAGTATCCACTATTTAATAACAACAATCTGTCAAAGATTGTAGCTCCCAAACTCCAAGCTTTAACTTATGTATTTTTCTCCTACAGAGCAAACCCAGTTAAACAAAATTACATTAAGCAAATTAAGCTTAATCACTTAAATGCTCCATTAACTTGAAAACCCCCAATGCATTTTACAAGTACAGCCACCAAGGCCAATATATATTGGAAATGTTAAAAACAAATAAAAAAAACACTTTGTTCTAATTGTGATAAAATTGAAATGAAAAAACAAACATAATAATATGTATTTCTCTTTTCTAAAACAAGCCCAGTTAAAAATAAAATAAAATAACTAGCTTAAATAATTTTTATTTGGCTAACGGTTCCAAGCACTTGAAAGCTTTATCCCGCTAACGCAGAAACCAAATAGATAGATAATACATATTGAAAATAAAATATAACAACAAACTGAGAAAAAGAAATGACACTTGATTCTACTGATTTGCAAAAGAAATGAAAACAACACCCAAAAAAAAAAAAAACCAGTAATTCTCTTTTTCTAAAACAAAAGCCCAGTTAAAAATTTTTAAAACTAAAATACTAGCCTTAAGATAATTTTTATTTGGCTAACTGATTTTCCAAGTACTTGGAAAGCTTGATTCCCGCTTAACGCAGAAACCAAATAGATAGATAAACATGATGAAAATAAAAATATTAACACAAACTGAGAAAAAGAAATGACACTGATTCATACTGATTTGCAAAATGAAATTGAAAAAACAACACCCAAAAAAAAAAAAAAAACCCAGCGCGCACACCAGTGATTATGAACAGATCAGACACCCAAAAAAAAAAAAAAACCAGCGCGCACACAGTGATTATGACAATCAACAAAATTTATTATAAATCTCGAGAATTTATACAACCAAAAACTCACCGAGAACCAGATTCTCCATATTCAACAGATCATAAACACAAACAATAAAGTGAAAACTAGGGGAATTTTTTTCTTTTTTTTTTTGTGGTTTCACCCAGTTTTCCCAGAAACCAAACACACAAATCACATCAAAATTTTCAATCAATCACGAAACGAAAACAGCATCAGATACAATATCAAATTGAAGAACATGATTCAAGCGGGCGTAGTAGATTCGAAATGAAACAGAAACAAAAGGTTGAAACATGAAGTGTTCGGAAAGAACGAAAAAGCCATTACCTGTCATTGGTCAAATAGAGATACAGAACGGTAAAGATAAAACCTAATCGCAGTGGCGACTGTGTCTTAAATCTATGTAGTGGCTTCCTCCTCTTTCCTTTCTCTTCCCATATTCTGGAAGCTAAGAAATATGAATTTTCCTTTTTTATATTTTTTTATTATTGTTTAGTTTTGACTTTTTTTTTTTTTTTTTTTTTTTGTATTTTTAATAATTTTTTTTTTTTTTTTTTTTTTGTATAATAGGCGTTTATAATTGACTGGAGAGGCCAGTCTCAGCCCACTAGAAGCCCAAGTATTGGCCCCTCGACATGGTACATTCGTGTACACCTCATTTTTCCTCTTTCCTTATAGATCTTAGAATGCGTTTGGTTTAGCTGATTCAAACAACTAATAATTATTTTGTACCCAACAGGTTATAGGTGTTCATAAGTTCTTTAATCAGCAATTGTTAGTTGATAGAAGTGTTAATCAGCTATTGTTTAACTAAATACCCTTATTTTGTAGCATTTTGAAAGTTAAAAAGAGTCATTAACTCTTATTTAGAGGCAAGCATTATGTCAATTCAGTTTAACTCAAATCAAACTGGTGGAAATCAAATACTAATAAACTTAATTATTATGCTAAGAAAATCAAGTTATGGATTAGTGATCTAAAGTCAGTTTTAAAATAGAAATACTTCCTCAATTCTCTTTTAAGCATCGTTTTAGATAAAATAATTTATTCCCAAAAATTTAAAGTGAAATTTCAAAAATGTTTCCCACTCTACCCTTGCTTCAAAATGAGGCTTTTATAATTCCCAAACTTCTTAAATATGAGAGATATAATAGAAAGGACCCAAGATGAGAGCATGATGTCATGTGGAAGAGAATTAATGGATTAATAACTGAGAGTAGAGCTTCATGGAATTTGCTTCATGTGTTACACCATTTGGATGATAAGATATGGGCAGTGCTTGGAGATTTTAATGATATGTTATCTTCAAAAGAAAAAATCAGAGGTCTTCCTCAACCTGCATTTTTAATTTCTAAGTTTTCAGGAGACACTTTGCGATTGTAGTGTTGAGGATTTACCAATTATTGGCAGTGTTGTTACCTGGACACATAGACCTCGAGGAGAGGATCTGATTAAAGAAAGACTTGACAGATGAGTTGTGAATTCTGGTTGGTTTTCCTTATTCCCTAAGAGTGTTGAGAAAGCTTTGGTCTCTCTAAATAGTGATCATTGTTCCATTTGGTTTATTATTTTCCTGTTATTCATGCTCAAAAAATTGGTACTTTTTCATTTTGATAATTATTAGATGTTGGACCGTGATTTTGTTGATGTTTTTCACCGTTTATGGGAAAGTTTATCTACATCGACATTGTTGGGAAAGCGTGATGAAATAATCGAGCATTTACAGCGTCATGGGAATGATAGAAATAGAGATTTTCGAATTCGCAAACATCATCTTTCTCGACTTTTAGATTCCGATTCTGCATCTTTGATGACATTTGAGTACTAGAATATTTGCAAAGAATGGAATCTCATATGGGAACAAGATGAAATTCGTCATAAGCAACATGCTAAACTTTTTGGGCTACAGTATGGAGATTCAAATTATAAATTCTTCCATGCATCTTTTAAAAGTGGAAAACTTAACAATCACATATATGCCTTGAAAGATTCTAATGCTGTGTTGGTTAGGACTAAGCATGATATTGATTCTGTGGTATTAGCTTATTTCCAAGATATTTTTATAGCACTACTTGTGATCTTAATGGTTTGTTGAATCTTGTTCGTAGAAAAGTTTTTGATGATGATAATAGAGATTTGATTACTCTATTTACTAATTATGAATTTAGAAACATAGTATTTGGAATGCATCCCGATAAATCTCCTGGTCCTGATGGCCTAAAACCTGCTTTTTCTCAAAAATTCTGGACTTTAATAAGTGATGATGTTTTTAATGGTTGTGAGGACTAGTAGAATTTGGGTGTTTTTCCCTTCCTCTCTTACTGAAACATTGGTTGTTCTTATTCCTAAGACTTCTAATCCTTCTAGCATGAAAGATTATAGACATATCTCATTATGTAATGTACTTTAAAAGATTGTTTCAAAGGTTTTGGCCAATATGTTGAAAAATATTTTGCCTAACATTATCTCTGATAGTCAATCTGCTTTTGTTCCTAATCATCTTATTTCTGATAATGTGCTTACAGCCTTTAAGGCGTTTCATGCTATAAAACGTAAGACTAGAGGTCTAGATGGTTTAGTAGCTTTAAAATTGAATATTAGTAAGGCCTATGAGAGGGTTGACTAGACTTTTTTTAAAACATATGATGATTGGTTTGGGTTTTACTGATAGGTGGATTCATTGGATGATGATGTGCATCATATGTGTCTCTTACTCTTTTTTGGTTAATAGGGATGTAATAGGTCCTATTGTTCTTGAAAGGGGTATTCGTCAGGGAGATCCTCTTTCTTCCTACTTATATATTCTCTATGCAGAGGGTCTTTCTTTGTTTTTCCAAGATATGTTTAGGAGAGGTAGTGTTCATGGTTTTAGAGCTCATTCATGGTGTCTTCGTGTTTCGCATTTATTATTTGTGGATGACTCTTTATTCTTTTTTAGAGCTAATGAGTCGGAATGTCTATGAGTTAAATCTCTCTTAGATAGGTATGGATCTACTTATGGTCAATCAATAAATTTTCAAAAGTCTGGTATTGATTTTAGTCCTATTGTTCTTGGCTCTACTAAGGATAAATTATTTTCTATTTTGGGGTTTTTCAGCCTTCAGGGAGTGGATCATATTTGGGATTACCTTCCTTAATAGGTCATAGTAAAAAGCAAGTTTTTTCTTTTTTGAAAGATAAATTATGGAATAGAATTAACGGATGAAATAATAAGATGTTTTCTCATGCTGGTAAAGAAATTCTTCTCAAGTCTATTGCACAAGTCATTCCTTCTTACCCTATTGGTGTTTTTCAGCTTTCTGTTTCTATTTATGATGATCTACAAAAGATTATGAATATCTATTGGTGGGGTGCTAAGCGAGATGGGTCTAAGGGTATTCATTGGATGTCATAAATAGAATGTGTTCTAGTAAAGGGGATGGCGGTATAGGCTTCAGGGATTTAACGTGTTTTAATTTGTCTTTGTTGGCTAAGCAAGGGTGCGTCTTCTAACTACTCCTAACACTTTCCTTTCTAGAATTTACAAAACTAAATATTATCCTAATGAGGATTTTTTTTTTATCAACTAACTTGGGATTAAATCTAAGTTTCACTTGGAAGAGTGTCCTTGCTGCAAGAGATATTTTTAAATGTGGTATTAGATGAAAAGTTGGTATAGGAGAACACATTTTAGTTTGTCAGGATCCTTGGATGCCTAAAGAAGATTCATTTATGGTGGATAATTCTTTTGATTTTATTGGTCCTAATTTAAAAGTCTGTGATTTTATCATTCCTAATAGTAGAGTTTGGGATTTATCTCAAATTATTGAAACTTTTTCTGATTAGGGATATATGGGTAATTTTTTCCATCCATTTAAGCATGAGACCATATGAAGATGAGCTTATTTAGGGAGTTCATAAAAAAGGAATTTTTAGTGTCAAAACTTATTATTTTCTTTGCCAAAAAATTTTAGGAAGAGAAGGGGATATAAGTATAGAAACTTTGTGGAAAAAATTATGGCATGTATATCCATCCTAAAGCTATGTGTAGTTTGAAGGGTATTTTACCAATTAAGGATAATTCATTTGGAAGAGAAATAGATGTGGATATGCTTTGTATATCTTGTAATGATGTTGAGATTATAGATCATATTTTATTGCAATGTTTTAGAGCTAAAGAAGTGTGGATGCATTTTAGTTTTTCTATTCCTTCATCTTCATACTCTTTCAATGCATATTTTATTCAGATTATTAATTTTTCTACTCATGCAAGAATTATTGAATTGTCTTCATAGCTTGGAAATTATGGTATTTTCATAATCAAGTTGTGTGGAATTATGTGCATCTAATCACTCTTGAGATTTGCAAACATATATCTATCTCTTTGCAGAATTGGATACATTCATGTATGCTTCACATTTCAGGATTGATGAATTCATCTACTTTCCATTCCTTGTCAACTCTACATGGTGATCCAGGTTTGGTTGTTCATAATATTTCTGGTGCTTCTGTTACACATGTTGGACAACCTACTCAGGTATTCAATAGTTTTGTTTCTCGAATTTACATGCCTCAACATGCTCAGTTTGCATTTATGGATGAGGCTTTTTTCCTCTACAACGAATGTTGGGATTCGGTATTTATCATGCACTTTTGGGTCTTGAGACTCTTGAAGAATTTTTTCCATTTTTTGGTTATGTATGGAAAGATAGAAATAAAATGACAACAATTTTAGGTATTCACTTAATCTTGCTAGGCATAGGTGCTTTTCTTCTAGTATTCAAGGCTCTTTATTTTGGGGGCATATATGATACTTGGGCTCCAGGAGAGAGGAGGAGATGTAAGAAAATTACCAACTTGTCCCTTAGCCAAGTGTTATTTTTGGTTATTTACTAAATCCCCCTTTGGAGGAGGAAGGATGGATTGTTAGTGTGGACGATTTGGAAGATATGATTGAAGGGCATGTATGGTTAGGTTCCATTTGTATACTTGAAGAAATCTGGCATATCTTAACCAAACACTTTGCATGGGCTCGACACAAGAAAATGAATTTTCCACATCCCTTTCTTGCGTCAAAACAAAATAATAATCATTCTTGATCCAATTCCTCAAAGATTACTATTCTCAGTTTTTTGAGTGTCAGAGGGGAGTGTTTCATAAGGCAATTTCTAGCAGTTTCTCGGTATGGTGAGGCGAAATTGATTGAAGCTTTGGCCTTACGAGCTACACTTAAATGGTCTGTTAGTAATATGACAAGTTTAGGTTGTATGTATAGTGACTGTCAGTCTCTTGTTTATGCTTTGTATTCCAATTCTTTAAATTATTCTGAATTTGGTGTGGTGGTTGAGGATTGTAAGTCTGAATTGTTGTAATGGAATCTTAGTTCGTTGGATTAGTAGACATGTTAACATGTAGGCTCATTATTTTGCAAGAGTATCCTACCAATGTGCAAGACTTGTAGTTTAGGACATGGTTCCATCTATCTTGTATTTGCATTATTTCT